CTCTGGAAGCCCAAGCTGATTAAATGCATGTGAAGTCATTAGTGCTGTGCAGCTCCCGGCAGGTTAACCATTTGTGAGGATGGTGATGTTTGCTCCTGACAAGAGAGCACTGCATTGCTGGCGAGTCACAAGGCTCCTAGGGCATCCCATTCCTGCTGCCTCCTGCCGCTGACCCCCACCACTGTGCAGGGTTTGCCAGGCTCTGACTAGTACTGCTCAGGCAGTGTTCAGGCTGATGTGTGATCACAGGAACAAGGAGCTTAGGTCTATTCCCAAGGGTCCTACACATCCAGGCCAACCATAGAAGGGAAAATGTGTATTTCTCTCCTTGGGAGCCTCAGTGAGAAGTATTTCTGTGTTGTAGTCACCAGGGCCACTTGAATGGCATCACGGTTGCACAACTGTTCTGATACGTAGAACAGGGTGTATAGGTACTCTGACCTCTTTGTATTGGATTCGGTAATCTGGTTAGGGGCCTTCACCTTGTCTGCAGGATGCACTGTCTCTCGAGAGGGCAGCCTTAGGCATGTCTGAAAGCCAAAAAGGACAGCATGGGCCTGTTCTGGACACCAGTCCCACATTCCTGTGTGCTTCAACATGGTGCATCTCACTGTGGCTCACCATGAATCCCCATGCTGCTGCTCAGAGAAGAGGTGGTGTGGCAGCATCATCTGGTCATAGCAGTCTTGGAGCGAGGGGTGTGTGAGCAAGAGCACAATCCCAGTGGGCAGAGCAGACGGCTGTTGCCTGCGGGGTTCACAGGTCAGTGAACTCACCTTGTGCTGCAGCTGCCATTGGTGAGCAGCTGAGGCCCCTGCCCCTTGCTGTGAAGCAGCAGTGGTGACAGTGAGGGCCTGGGTGACTCACATTCAGCTCAGGCGCAGTCAGTCCCATGGGGACGTGGCAACCTGCTCAGCCTGTCTCCCTCCAGTGATCCCTTGTCCCCTGCCTGAGACCACACTGAGTTTGGCTGGTACGTGTTGCACTGATGTGTACAGGGGGCAGAGATGACTTTGTCACAGCAACTGCTGTCACAGCAACAGCTTTTCGCCCAATGGATCTTGGTCTGTATTTCAGACTGGGATTTTCCTGGGACAGCCAAATGCCTAAACTCATGAATGGGTCCCTAATTCCTGTAAATAACTGCAGATAGTAGTTTTCTAAACACTTACAAGGTGGTGCGTGGCAGGGATTTTGCCGCAGGCAATGCTGATGGTTTGGGGCAGAGCATTTTCCATGTGAACACTGGAAACCCCACTCACTGGACAAGAGCCGCCTGAGCATCCTGAGGGTCAGTGCTGAATGGTGTAGATCCAAAGTGTATCTTTGCCATGCAGCTCTGCCTTTGGGTGTTCCCATTTCCTCTTGTCCTCCCACACTACTGTGGGTGCTGGAAGGAACTGCTGCTTTTCCACAACTGATGACTCAGCAGTGCGTCAAAACTTCCTTTTCAAGAGAGACACAAAGAGGGAAACAGAGGCATACCAGTGGGGAAGGTCGCATAAAGGCTGGGAAAGAGCCCAGCCTGGGTGATCCCTGTGCCCTCGCACAGAGCATTGCTGTAGGCTTCAGGAGTACCCTCCACTTCCAGGAACCACAAAATCAGTGGCTTGAGAGCCCTGAGGTTGTACAAACAGTCTGGATGGTTTTTTTTCCCAGCTATCCTGATTTTATTATTTTTTTTTTAATATTGATATATGGAATTTCAGGTGTTTCTTTACAAACATGAAAGCTAGAAGACTACTTGAAAAGCAAATAGATGAAAGGAAAGCATAGAGTCTTTCAGAATCCCATAGAGCCGCGAGCTTAGGCTTGCAGAAAAGCGGCAAACACCACAGTGCAACCCTGAGTGCTGTCAGCACCTACCCTTCAGCAGCACCCAGCACCACTCAATGCAGCAAGCCGCTGCTTCTCTCTGTGGCACCGTTCCCTGTGGCCAAAATGGGCAGTGCAGCACACTGGGCTGTTTCTCTGGAGCTCTTATTAAACTGTACTGATCCCTAGCCCAGAAGCTAAATGACTTTGTCTAAGTGCCCTTGACAGCAGTGTTTCCTTTCTGGAAAGCAACAAGCCCCAGGGTTCAAAATAAATGTGAATTTATGGGGAGGTGGGGGTGGAGAGTGGGTAGTGGTGATGGAGGAATGGAATCTATTTGGGAAAGGCAGATTAATAGTTAACAATTTAAACTTCCTGCGTCCCTCTTATGTTCCCTTACCTATTGCCCAACCTCCATTCTCTTAGTGAGACTACATCAGCCTTCCTGAGGGTCCTTGTCCCCTGCCTGGGGAGGTCTGTGGTAACTTAGTCTTCTCCATTCACTGTTCACTGGTGCTGTAGTGCTTCTCTCATGCCAGTGCCCAGGAGGGGAGCATGGAATGAGCAGGACTGGTATCCTCAGGCTTGCTTTGTACCAACATGCCTTTAGCAGCTCCTTCCTTCCTTATAGGAGTTTTTGGCTAGTACTCCTGCAAAGCAACCTCATGTGAACCTGATTTTTCATGGTAGAGGTGTCCCTTCTCATTCTGTCTCTGTTCAAGTGGGGAAATGATATCTTCAATGAAACTGTGCCATTTGCCTGTGTTTTGGTGAGGTTTTTAGGAATAAGTTTATGCAATTAGAAGAAGACCAAGAACTTACAAACTCAGAGGAGTTTAATAGCCTGTAACCAACACTGCAAAACCTATGCACCAGCACAGCCTGTTCTGTAAAAGCAGTGGTCCCCATTATACATTAAGCCACTTCTCTTGCACAGAGACTTGTCATTTGCACTTTGGCTGCCAGCCAGGATTCACATTTACAGGCTGCTTCCAGTGGTATATGGGTTGGTTTGAGAGGATTTAGTATCAGTATTAGGGTTTCATTGTAATGTTAGTCCTCATCCTCCTTCCTTGCACTTTACTCAAGTTATTTTGCTGTGGCACAGCCATTGGGCCCGTTCTTGTGTGACCAAAGCAACAGTGCAGTTTCTGTTCTTAGCAGCCATCTTTGGAAAGCTGTGGTGAGCAGCAAGCACCTTGTGCCTGGCCTCTGCGGAGAGTGGAGATTCCCCTCACAGGGTGTAGGGCACCACAAACTATGCTCTGGCAGAAACCTATGAGTCCATGCTTGACTTAGCTATTCTCACTCCCTGCCTGTCCTGTAAAAGCAGTTCCCAAACTGCCTTGCACAATGCTCCAGAAATTTGTGTTGTTTCCCCCACTTCTTTCTCTAAGCCCTCAGCTATAACCACTATGTCAAGCAGCCTTGCTTGGCAGCCTTGGTCCCCTCTCTGAGCAGTAGCAGCAGAGGCAGGATCTCTTTCCACCATCTGAGACAGACTGACACCAATGGTCTCCCTTGGCTGCCAAAGGACAGTCAGTCAGAAGGTCCAGAGCCTTCCTTTGCTGTGGTGCCACATGCTGCCTCCCTGGGCCCTCCTTCCACCAGGTCACCTGTCATAGAAAGGAAATGGATTTTCATGGCAGCTGGCTGATGGTAGATGGACCCAGTCGTTTAGAAGCACCAATAAATGGCAGCCGCGGGTTCACTGGGTACCATCTCCTTGCAGTTAGCAGGAGTTTCGCTCTGCCTTGTACATTCAGACTGGTTTGGACCAAGCTCATCCTGAGGTGAGCTTGGCAGACCTCCCTCCTCTCCTGCGGCAGGGAAAAAGCCATGGCACTACGGTGCCTGAAGCCACATGAACAGCAGAGCTGCAGAGAAAATCTTAAGTGTGCCCCGTCTTCCTCTGCTGTAACCACTAACTCATGCGTTGTGGAGACTTCAGACCTGGAGCAGCACCACAAGCCATGCTGGGGATGCCCGGCAGGGGACAGCAGGATCCCACCACTGCACCACCAGCCCACTGCGCCCTGCAAAAGGCAGGCTGCAGGCAGCCCTCTGCAAGGCGGCTGTGAAAAGGCACCATGAAGTTTTACTGTCTGAACAAGAAAAACGTGATAGACACCACATGGATCTGAAGGCAGCCGGGGAGAGCCCAGAGTTGCAGTGAACATGAATCAATAACTAGCCTGTTTTGCTTTATGCTCTGCGATCAAAGGGTGTCTGACATGCTGCCGAACACTAGTCCGCTCCTCTGGGAATTTCCACCCTGCAAGGATGGGGTCAAGCCTCAGCAGTATACTGCCCCGATTGTACCTCACTGGGACAGCGCAGCCCCAGTGCTGCAGGCAGGGCCTGCAGAGAGGGTAAGCTGCAGGGACCGGTGAAAAGCCTTCGTGCTCACAGTCTCTCCTGGGGACCCCTCACTGATGGCATGGATGGAGAGCCGTCCTGGGGTGAGGCCTTGCATTTGCGCAGGATGTGTCTTGTGCCTGGCAGTGGCCAGGGAGTGAGCTCTCATCCAGACATCCAGCGTTAAAAAAAGCTTATCACACTACGGAGTGGGATGGGGTTGGGTGCTGCCAGGGAAGGGGACAGAGCTTGGTGGCTCTGTGTCAAAGGCAATCTTAAACAGAAACTGGATGTGGGAACACATGTGTTGTAGCTGTGCGGGTCTCACAGACCTCTACTGCACCTATATCAGCCTCTGGTGGATGAGGGCCAAGGGTCCAAGTAGACTGTGCCTCTCACTGGTAACTCCTGGTTTCCCTGTGAAACCTGCAAGCCTTCTCCCCAAAACCTCAGGCTAATTCCCCTTGCTCAGAGGGGACCTCCTGGCAAATCAGCATAAACTTACCTTCTCTTCTTTGGTCACCTGTTTGACACCAACCTTAGAGGCTTTCCAAAGAGTGGACTAACACTGATTCCCTGCAGCAGGATGTATGAGAGGCTCCTGGCTGGCCATCCCCCAGGGCTCTGCTCAGGACAGTTGTGACCAGTCCCTATCCCAGTGCCATCCTACTCACCAGCACTGGGTGGGCTGGGCACTCTGTGCTGAGTTGGTGGTATTTTACATTAGGCTTGACAGAGAGATGTGTGATCAGGATGTTATGTGTGTGTGTACGTATGCATGCATTGAAAACCCACATGTGTGTCTTAGACCAAGCTATAATAACAAAAACTATCAAAAGTAGATTTATTTGCTATGCATATGTTCTCCAGTTCAATAGTAGGGCTCCCAGAATTAGGTATCCGGCTCCCAGAGGTTAGTGTCCAGCTCCCAGAATCATGTGATTATGCAAGACTCTTCATTAAAACACATTTTAGGTCACAGAATTGCATGGAAGAGTCACAAAAAGAGATTCAAAACCCAGAAAAAAGAAAATTCCCAAGTGAAATGAAACTTTTTTGCTATTATTAGTAGTTTTACTTCTAATTGCATAATTTATATTAATGACCTTTGGGGGATTACAGTAAACCTAAACCAAGAATGCTGCAGTGGAATGAGGGAGAGGAGATATCAGGAGAGCTGAGACTAAGTTCAAGGCTAAGCCCCAAGGAAATGAATGCCTCCAATCTTGCCACTTCTCAGCTGCCTGTGAAGTGTCTTTGCTGACAGCAGAGTTTGAGTGTTTGGGAGGGCTGAGTTAGGAGTGATGCTGGGAGCTGCAAAGCACTGTGGAGGCAGCAGAGCCCTGACAGGGACAGGGGTGCTCCTTCCAGAGTAATGAGGAGGAGGGGGTGCCAGCCAGTGGGATGGATGCACAAGCCTCCTGTCCAGAGAGCAGTAAGTTGCTCCTGCCATCGGGGATGTGCTCAGTACACCAAGCGATGGGATGCTCCATGTTGCAGGCACAAGCCCTCTTCAGTGGCACCATGTCTGCTGTGCTGAGGGGCAACACAGCAAAATCTCCAGTGACTGAGAGTGGGGCAAAGCCTCAGCATGATGGGATTACATGTGGCATGCCCAGGGTGAAGGAAGCAGTGCAGGGTTTGGTGGTTTGGTGGTGGGGACTTGGGGCCTCATTGCTCTTTTTTTGGGCAGATCAGGCTCTGGTCTTCAGGAGCCTAATCCTGGCTGTCAAGTGGATGACAGGAGATCTTGAGTTGGCATGTAAAGAGGGAAGGGAGACATAAAGGGAGCTGTGTGTGATCCAGAAGTATGGCTACACCCTGAACAAGCCTTTGCATGTCCTCTGTATGCCTGCTGCCCCTCAGTTCCCATCCTTTCTTGCAGGAGTGTGGGCTTAGTCAGACACCCTTTCAGTGAGCTACTTCGTACTATGGCTACTGGGACTCCTGATATCTTCAAAGATAAACTGACATGGCACATAGACCACGTTGTACCCACATACATGAAAGCCCCACCGTGAATCAGTCAGTCTGCTGCAAAACTCAGGAGGGACTTATTGTAATGAAGCTGGCATCAATGCCTCCCAAGTAACTGCTACACTAAAACCAGATCTATCTCCTTTTCCATTGAGTCTGCACATCTGGGCTGAAGTCTACAAACCCCCTAGCAGGTGAGTTGGTTAGTATCGTCTAAAAGGCAGCTAGAAGTGACTGGTAAGGCAGACAGGTAGGCAGAGCAGGTCGAAAAGGCTATGCTTAGGATCACTTACGGCAATATAGACCTAGCTTGTGACCTGGATGTGAACGCTATGGATTTCAGCCCCATGGGAGGATGCGATCCATGTGAGCAGATGTCCACTTTTCTCACTGGCACTGAGAAATTCCTCACCACACAAGGAGCCCCATGGGACTGAAGTGATCAAATAGTGAGGTGAATAAAAGGCTTGAAAGACCCATCCACATAATAGCAGTTTGTTACTAGCAGTAGGCTACATAAAGTCCAGGCCCACAACACAAGAAAGCACAAAGCCCAGGGGGTATAAAAGATAACTACACAGCAGCAGTGCAGAAGCAGAAAAGTTACCCATGAAATACTTGAGAGAAGCCTCAGCCTGTTTGTATGTAGCTAAAGAAGGGATGAAATCAGTCACACATATTTGTCTGAATCAGCAGTTCAGCTGATGTTGGGACCCCTGAATAAAGATTGCAGCCTGCTCCCAAAGCCAGCCAGATCCTACCTCAGTAGCTGCCAGTCGATAGGAGCTCTGGGCTGTCACACTAGGTGTTTTAACTGCTGGTCAAGCTGCTTAAGGCTCCATTTTCCTCTTCCAATTTCTTCATCCCTCCAGCTGCCTCTCTACAAAAACATCACTAATATGAGCTGTCACCCTGGGAGACAGCAACTTGTAGCAGCAATGCAGTAGCCACAAGCAGGGGTGTGAGGGTGTTCACAAGGAGAAGCATGACATGTTACAGTGTACTGCAGGCTGACTCTCATCCCTAAGACCCAACCAGTGCTATGGCAATATAAATAGTCTCAGTTTTTATATTGCACTGACTCATTTCTGTTTTGAATGGGGAAACTGAGGCAGGGTGATGCCTTGATCCAGCCATTATCCCACAGCTTGTCAGCAGTGCAGCTCATTTAAGGATGATGAATCTTGCCTGTCTGTCAATGAGTCTGCACATGCCTTGTGAAATCTGATGGTAGCTCTCAATCAAGAGAGTTACCCAGTTAAACCCTGACCTAAAAACATGATTTGTTCCCAGATCTCAGAATAAATGCTAAAAGTTGTGCTGTGATGATGAAGTGTGAGACCCACATCTGTGTGGAGCAGGTCTGTAACAAGACTGATACACCACTTTAACACCACAGAATAAGGCTGCTGTTTTACTAATTCCTGTATGGAGAGAAATTGCCACCACAAGAGGAAATGCAATAGTGTAAAAAGAACTCACAAAGAGATTGAATATTCATGTGCAGGCTCTTGGTCTGGAGTATATTTCATAAGGATGAATGAAGGAGAAGTATTTTATCAGCTAGTGGGAGGAAGGAGTGCTAGTAACTCTCAGTATAAACAAGCTCTGTGGATGAAGTTTAGCCCACAGACATTTAGCCATCCATCAAAACCATTTGACTTTTTGCCCTCTCTTCTGGCAGAGGGGACCCGTAACTTCTCCCTGCATGGGAGCAAACAAGGTGTACGAAGCAGTGATTGATGCACCTGGTGATTGAGACATACATCAAAGAGCCTGCTTGCTGCATTTTGAGCCCAGTGAGCGATTTGTAGAAGGGTTTATGCAGATAAATAACCAGAGAGATTTATGTGAAACAACACAAAACACATGTTTTGGGCTGCAGAGATGTAGAAATGAGGACTTGAGGACTGGCAAGCTGTGTAGCTGAGGTTATTTGTGAAAACGTTCCTGTTCAGTGGGATTTATTCTTGGGACTTCATTTTATTTGTCATTGCCTCCAAGAGACCGCAAAGCAAACAAGCACAGCAGGATCCATCACTTTATTTACTATGTTGTCTAAAAGGGTTTCAGGCATATAGGTTTAAAACCAGGAGGGTTGTCATGTCACCCCTACATGGGGCTGAACACAGGAAAAGACTGAGAGCAAGGAGAAGCAGCAGCAAAAGAGACAGAGCTCCTGGAGATGAATTGGATGTGGTTAGATGAGTCCCTGGAGGAACCGTAAATGCCAACTCTCTTGTCACAGTTTGCACTGATGTCTAGTCCCTGAACCTGGTGTGGGCTCTTCTGTGTCTGCTGAAAAGTAGGAGCAGCTCAGTGCTCTGCTAGTGTGACAGTGAGCTAGAGCCTGGGTTTGCTCTCAGTCTGTCCCACCCTGCAAACTCACTCTCTTAGGTGGCTGTGTGCACTGGACCACCTTCCTCCTGCTCCTTTGCACCCATGGGGAGGCAAAGAAGACTGTATCAGAGTGGTTAGCTTGATGAAGACTTCTTCAGTCAGAAGAGACCCACTGTGGTGCAGGTTAGCAGTCACCCTCTAACCTAGCAGAGGGGTGTGCACCAGTGAGAGCTCACAGTTCACACACCCAGTCACACCACACTACATGCAGCCCATGGCACATCTACTCACCTGCCAGAGGGTCAGATCCCCCACTGCCATGGGATATTGCACATGGAGAGGCAGCTGTTTGTCAGTCTTCTGAACTGCCCCCCTGGCCTATTTTTCCAGTCTGAGCTTCTTCTCTTTCAGGAAGGAGCAAGGGAATTGCTCAAACAAATTACTCCTAGCATGCCCAGAGCCACCCCCATATGGCGTGGGCCCTGGTCAACAGTGATGTACACATACACCACCAACAGTAAGATGGAGAAATCCTTCTCCTTCTAGTTGCATGCCACTTATCCATTAAAATTCTTCACTCCATGTCCTCCTGCCCCCTGGCCCTCTTTCCTCCATGTCTCCATCTCCTGGTGCTGGAGGCAGATCTTAGTGCTGCCTGTAACTGGCATTTCTCACTCTAGGTAGAGAAAAACATCAGCTCTTTTATGAAAAGTTGTGCCTGCTCCTAAATGTTAGGCTCCCTTTCCCTGTGCAGGAGTGCAGGGCTTGGGATATGCTTGGCAATCAGCCTTTCTGTCCATGGGAAAGGGCCCCTGCCCTCATGTGTGCTCACCACATGGGCCATTTTATTTACATAGCTGGGTCCACACATTTATATTTAGTACATTTGGGAGGCCACCCCAGACTTAAGCTAAAAAAAAAAGGGTGAAAGAAAACGCATGAAGTTTAAGGAGAGGGGAGATGAGTGAAAAATGAGTGAGGTGGCTGGGCTTGCTTGGTTGTGTGGCCATAAGTGCTGGTATGTCCTGCTGCAAGCAAAGGGCCAGAAGTTGCGTTCACCTTTGGATGTGAACTCTGGTCAGATTCAAGCCCTTCTTTAAGCATTGTCACTTGAATATGACTTGGCTTTGCCTTTTCAAAACTCAGTTCAGCCTTGTCCACCCAGTTTTATAGACTATAGGATATCTACATATCTGTCTATACAGAGAAAGTCTTATACTCGTTTTGTAACTTGTGGTTACCACCTAAGTCTGACCATAGTCAGGGCTGATGTTTCTAAATGGAGTACTTTAACTCAGGCCTTTCGTATGAGCCCCCAGGATATTTGCTGCTGGTCCCTCAGTGCAGCCCCACTAGCAGGAGAAACCATTTGTTGACGGGAGCAAATTATGCATTCCTCTTCCTCCCACACCACTCATGTCTGATATGCATTTGTCTTCTTTTGTTCACTAGAAATAAGGTGTGGGGTAGCATTTGCTTTTCAATTTGGAATACTTATAAAAATGAAACATTAGGCAGGACCATTGCTCAGTTGTTGTGGACATGGTGCAGTCGCTGGGTTAGCCTCTCACCTCCCCAGCACTGTGATACTCGAGGGTGGTCTGCTTGTGGGCAATAGGGGTGAGTCTGAGGAATAGTTTGGGACTAGATTGTCCTGCCAAATAGAAAGTAACTTGCTTCAGATCTGATTTTGTCTTCTTCACAGGAAATGGTTGTGTAAAGTTGATCAAAACAAATATTGAAAACGGCAACTTCTATAACAGTGAACAACTTCTGTTGTTCAGAAGTTTTCAGTTAAGACAAGGTGGGAGGCAGACAGGCTGCAGCAGGGGATCTTCTGTGAATGTGGTCCTGCAGGGCTTGTACTACAGCCATTGGTATATTTTTGAGTCAAAATTGCAACACAAACGAGAATAAAATCTCAAAGATGCATGAAATTTTCTTACCTCTTTCTCCAACTCTACACCATGATCTTTGTAATTATAGACAGCCTTTTCAACAGGAAATTAAAAAGTCAGATGAATGTCTTTCAGTCCGTGGACTGTTAACAAGCTCTTTGCTTGGACTACCTCCTCTCTACTGCTGACTATTTGGGGGATGTCAGAAACCAGCTGACATTGCCTTCTTTCTGGATGGCAACTATTTAGGAAGGAGAAGCATTCTTATTAATTTAAAGCACAAAGCTACAACTTGCTTTGGGGTACAAACCCTTTCACAAATTGTTCCTGTTAAAAAGAAAGCAATTTTTCAGGCACATTGTTATGCAAACAGACCATGCGCCTGAGCAGATCATGAACTTCACTTTTACTGCATGCTGCCACAGCTTGCCATCATGCCCTCCAGAAATATTCTCAGCATGTAGTTATGAGATGATCCCAAACCTTAAAGCTGTGATATGGGTTTAGCAATAGATATTGTCACTCATCTACTGGCAGGCATCCACGTGTTGTTTCTTCCCCAGCCTTTTCCTGCTTCCAAGGCTGCACCTGAAGGCAGTGTGGCTGGAGTTTTAGGAGCCAAGATTGGCTTTACCTGGGAGAGGAGGTCTCTTCTCAGGTGATGGATGGGCTTGGCTGGTTGTAGTGGCCTATGGGAGCACAGCAGGATACTTAACTGCCAGAGGCAAGCATCAGGTAAGTTTTGCCATGAGATGCTTGTTCCTGTGGTCAAGGTAGCTCTAAGCTGGACACAAGCGCTATGGTTTGAAAGCAGATTTTGAGGGGTTGGGGAAATGCCTGTGTTACAGGTATCACTCAATATCTGGGTTTGGAGGTAGGGGTGTACTCAAAGCAACTGTGCTACATCTTTTTTTGCTCTTGAAGGTTCCAACCAAACTGATCACCTCATGGGTTTCTTTTTTCTTCTCTTTTACTTCCCCATCAAAGTAGCACCTGGTAAGTAGCACCTGCCTGGCAGTAGAAGCTGGAGACACTTTGGTGGCAGGCAGGCTCTGAAGGTGAGTATCTTGCAGCGAAACACACTACTCTATAGGTCAGTGCCATCCTGCTCAGTGCCTGGCAGCAGGTAAGAGCTTGTGCTGTGTCTGGCTCTGAGGGAAGCTGGGGAGGGGGTTTGGTAACTGGGTGGGCTGCCATGAGCAAATGACCCTGCTAGGGTCTGGGACTGGCTGATACCCTCAGCTGTAGCAAACTGAACTTTGCTGCTCCAGTATGTGCACTCTGGGGAAGCTGCCTTGCTTGGTTGTGTTTCCCATGTGCTAGAGAGTAAGATGTGCTTCAGTGCTTGCCAGTGGGTCTGCTCAAGCATAAGCCCTGATTAAAAGGAATCCAGAGGCCTTGGGTTTCTGGGTTTTTCTTATACACTGCCTGGAGTGAGGCCTGATGTAAACATAGGGGAGAAAGAAAGAGTTTATCATCTGATGTTAGTTAATCAGCTGAGTCAAGTGTTTTGGTGCTCTCACTAGCCCAGTATCACAGCTGCTGGCTGGCTGGGCAGGAGCAGCTAGTCCTATTTTGCTACAGTCTAAGGCCTCATGTTTGGTTCTGCTTCTAAAGTAGAATTAAATCAAGTTCATAAAACATTCTGTTCCTATGCATGTGGAGTAGCTCCTGCCAGCATCTCCTGTGGCACAGAGCCTGCTGCAGCTATACTGTTATTTCTATTCAATAGTCTACTGGAGCTGGTCTGTGTCCACAAATAGCCCTGGACGCTGCTGAAAGGTACTTTTCGTACCATAAACATATTTGGTAGATACATTGCATCCAGGGAAACTCATTACTTTAGCAAGTACAGCAGAGTAAATGAAACTTTTGAGTCTGAAGTACATAACTCTCAAGCCACAGGGTCTATTTCCCTGGCCATCCTGCAGCAATAAGGGCTCTGCCAGTGGTGTTTAGGACCTTGGGAGAGATGGTGCTGCTCACCCAAGCTGCTGGTGTAAACAGTGCTAAATTCCTGCTCAGCAGTCTCGCCCTCAGTAGACTTTGTGTAGCTGCTGATTGAGGCAGTTTGTGCATATAGTTAGAGCAGCAAGGGCAGTGTGCTGCTTACCTGCCATGGCTAGGATTACTCCCTGCACAAACAAACAGGGTTTGCAGACCACCCGTTAGCCAGCAGCCTGTTTCCATTAGCGGAATGCCAGGAGCCCCCTCCCCTTGAGGATGTGAATTGCCTTCATGCCCTCTAATGAGAAGAGCTTTAATTATGAAGGGAATGAAAATGTACTTTATTTTCCCCAAAAACTTGTTGACAGTGCAAGACTCCTTGTCCTGTTTTGTGCTTTGCTTGCAGAAAAGCAGATGAAATGAGCAGGGTTTTGGGGCTCAGGCAAGCTCTGTATCTGACTGCCAGCTCGCCTGGAGTCGGTGTGAACAGCAATGTTTCAAGGAAGCTAATTGCTGAGTGTTCTGACTTCTAACACTGCAGAGCTCTCCCTCTCTGCAGGCCTGCCTGCTGTGAGCCCTCAGCACCCCACAGTCTTTCTGCTTTCCTGGGAATAGGGTCTTCCCTCCCATACTGGGCAGTCTTCTGAGCCCTAAATGGGGCTGGGGCTTAGCTTGCATTTTTGATACCTAGGCTGCCTCTCAGGGGTGTCAGCAGATACAAATTTCACCCAATGTCACTGACTCAGGGCCTTAACACCTTTATGTGATAGTCTTGTCAGCATTTTCAGTTAGCAGATATGAAATTTCCTATGATGGGGACTGCAGGATTATGAATCTTTTCTAGCCTATGGTAATTTTTTTCTCTTTAATGAACACAAGCTCTCTTAATCTTATATTTCCGTATTTAACTGAAGTTATTAATGCTTTAGATTCATGTCTGCTTGCAAAACTCTCAGCTTTAACATGGCAATTTCTTATGAGAGAACATTGCATTATCCAGCTCTGTTCAGAAGCCACCTAATTTTACTCTCCAGACCATGTAATGTGAACTGAAGGGAGAGGATACACTCTTTTAAGCAATTTATTCTATGCTGGGGAGAGAGATTCTGGGGGCTTAGTTTTCCCATTGGCCTAAGGAGAGACAGGAGTGGAGGCAAGATTATGCTTTGGTGCTCTGTGACCTTGATAAATCAGGCACCACAAATCACTGCTGTATCAGACCCAGGACTTAAAACTTTCACAAGACTTAATGGGTGGGAGGTGGAAATACCCTATATTTTTGAGAAGATCCTCCTGTTTCTTAGTCGCCTGTTAATTTAGCAGCTCCCAAAATAGCAACCTAAAGTAGCTAGATTCATAATTCATAATTAAAATTCCTATCAGTGTTCAGACTCCACTGTTGGTTTGACCTCTATGCCTCTCCATGAGCATCTAGTTCAAGGAGTGCTTTCCTGCTTCTCAGTGAGGGCCCTGTGACTTAACCCATCAAGTTAACAGAAGGTCATATAATAGTCATAAAAATATTAGGAATCACTCCCACATTCCTCACCCCTGGCAAAATACTGCAGCAATCAGGGAACAATCAGAGCTTTCAAGCTGGGCATCTAATAAATCTACAGAGGTACTAGGCAGAACTGAAACTCTACAGCTGTTGGGGTAGAGAGTGAGAGTATATGACTGGCTCAGGAAAGGGGTTCCTTTTTTCTCCTACTGTTTCATAGAATCATAGAATAATTGGGGTTGGAAAGGACCTTAAGACCATCTAGTTCCACCCCCGCCCTGCCATGGGCAGGGACACCTTACACTAAATCATATCACCCAAGGCCTCGTCCAACCTGGTCTTGAACACTGCCAGGGATGGAGCATTCACAACCTCCCTGGGCAACCCATTCCAGTGCCTCACCACCCTAACAGGAAAGAATTTCCTTCTTATATCCAATCTAAACTTCCTCTGTTTAAGTTTTAACCCATTACCCCTTGTCCTGTTACTACAGTCCCTAATGAAGAGTCCCTCCCCAGCATCCCTATAGGCCCCCTTCAGATGCTGGAAGGCTGCTATGAGGTCTCCACGCAGCCTTCTCTTCTCCAGGCTGAACAGCCCCAACTTCCTCGGCCTGTCTTCATACAGGAGGTGCTCCAGTCCCCTGATCATCCTCGTGGCCCTCCTCTGGACTTGTTCCAACAGTTCCATGTCCTTTTTATGTTGAGGACACCAGAACTGCACACAATACTCCAAGTGAGGTCTCACAAGAGCAGAGTAGAGGGGCAGGATCACCTCCTTCGACCTGCTGGTCACGCTCACAGTATCACAGTATGCTAGAGATTGGAAGGGACCTCAAAAGATCATCTAGTCCAATCCCCCTGCCAGAGCAGGAACACCTAGATAATGTTACACAGGAATGTGTCCAGGCGGGTTTTGAATGTCTCCAGGGAAGGAGACTCCACAACCTCCCTGGGCAGCCTGCTCCTTTTGATGCAGCCCAGGATATGGTTGGCTTGCTGGGCTGCAAGCGCACACTACCTGCTCTTGTTCATTTTCTCCTTGACCAACACCCCCAAGTCCTTCTCCACAGGGCTGCTCTGAATCCCTTCTCTGCCCAACCTGTAGCTGTGCCTGGGATTGCTCCAACCCAGCTGTAGGACCTTGCACTTGGCATGGTTAAACTTCATAAGGTTGTCATCAGCCCACCTCACAAGTGTGACAAGGTCCCTCTGGATGGCATTCCTTCCCTCCAGCGTATCAACCGAACCACACAGCTTGGTGTCATTGGCAAACTTGCTGAGGACGCACTCAATCCCACTGTCCATGTCACTGACAAAGATGTTAAACAAGACCGGTCCCAACACCGATCCCTGAGGGACACCACTCGTTACTGGTCTCTGGCCAGACATTGAGCCATTGGCCACAACTCTTTGCATGCGGCCATCCAGCCAGTTCTTTATCCACCGAGTGGTCCATCCATCAAATTGATGTCTCTCCAGTTTAGAGACAAGGATGTCATGTGGGACAGTGTCAAACACTTTACACAAGTCCAGGTAGATGACATCAACTGCTCTACCCCTGTCCATCAGTTCTGTAGCCCCATTATAGAAGGCCACCAAATTGGTCAGGCAGGATTTCCCTTTAGGGAAGCCATGCTGGCTGTCACCAAGCACCTTGTTGATTTTCATGTGCCTTAGCATGCCTTCCAGGAGAATCTGCTCCAAGATTTTGCCAGGCACAGAGGTGAGACTGACTGGTCTGTAGTTCCCTGGGTCATCCATTTTCCCCT